GAGTTTGAATGGAGTTAACAACCCCATTCAAAGCCTAAGGAAATGCATTCTGGCAATTTTTGTTTTTTTTTTTAAAAAAAGAAGACTAAAAGTAGACATAACACAATACCTGTGTCAGCACCAGGAAAAACTAGACAGCTAGCCCTAGTCGTACCTGCAGATGTATTTTTATTCTTCTGCAAAAGGCCAAATTAGCAAAAGGATACAGTTGCTTGCAGCTTCTCTAAAAATTGGCTCTTGGCGACAGCTGCCTCGGGGTCTGTTTTCAAATCCTGGCACTTTTCCAACAACCTTTGTGTCAAGAAGCAGAAGAGTGGGAAATAGCAACAGCCCTTAGACTTATATACCACTTTCCCAGTGCTTTACAGCCCTTTCTAAGTGGTTTACAGAGTCAGCCTTTTGCCCCTAACAGTCTGGCTCCTCATTTTACCCACCTCGGAAGGACGGAAGAGGCTGAGTCAACCTTGAGCCTGGCGGGATTTGAACTGCCGAATTGTAGGCAGCTGGCTGCAGAAGTAGCTTGCAGTACTGCACTCTAACCACTGCGCCACAGAGGCTCCTGGCAAATAATAAGCTTCTCCCACCCCCCAAAAAAAGAAACCCCCAGGATATGCTCCAATCTTTAGACCTGGCCTCTTACTGCCTGAAGAAGCCATGGAGATAGTCTTGCCAGTTACTCTTACACTGCTTGCAGTATCATGTATTTTGAAGAGTTCTTCGGGATTTCTAGTCCTGTGCAGTGCAAGATCTCTTAAAAGCTGGGGGGTCTCCAACCTTGGCTGCTGTTAAGTAAGACATGTGGGCTTCAACTCCCAGAATTCCCCATCCAGCACAGGCTGGGGAATTCTGGGAGTTGAAGTTCACAGGTCTTAAAGCCGCCAAGGTTAGAGATCTCTTTAGGCAAGGATGAAATACATTTTTGAAAGATAATAAATTACAGTGTTAATGATACTATAACAATTGACCGATGTGATGTAAAATACTGACTAGAACGGTTATAAATATAAACAAGAAATGTATGATATTATTATGTGCACAAGGTATATGTACCCAACTGACATACTGCTGAACTGAAAGATGGTTTTGTTTGTTTTTGTGATAAAAATAAAAAAACTTTTTCAAACAAACAAACAAAAAAAAGAGAGAGAGAGAGACCTCTGCCTTAGAGGAGTGTTTCTCCCGTCTTGGCAACTTCAAAATGTGTAGACTTAGAACCTAGAATAATACAGTTGGAAGGGACTTTGGAGATCTTCTAGTCCGGAGGTGTCAAACTGGAAACAGTGAAGGACTGGCTTGTGGTGCTTCTGCCAGATCAAATGGAGCTCAGGAGGGTTGCACGAAGCTCTCCCGGGCTCCGTTTTCAGCCATGACGGCCTCCTGCAGCCCTCTGCCAATGAAAATGGAGCCCAAGTGGCCATGGGTGCCCTCCCCAGCTCTGTTTTTTTTTGCTGGCAGAGGGCAGCAGGATGCCGTCAGGGCTGAAAACGGAGCTTGGGAGCCTCTTTCTGCTGGCAGAGCGCTTGGGCCACCACAGGTGCCCCAACACGAGTGATGTCAAACTGGCCACGCCCTCCCAGCCCCACCCCAAGTTAGTAACACACCCCTGATGCAGCCCTCAATGAAATAGAGTTTGACACCCCTATTCTAATCCACCCCAGGAGTCTCTGTATCATTTCACACAAATGGCTGTCCTTAAAAGGCTCCAGTAATGGAGCACTTACAACTTCTGGAAGGAAGCCATTCCATTGATTGATTGTTCTCACTGTCAAGAAACTTCTCCTTAACGCTAGATTGGATCACTCGTTAATGATCTTCCATCCATTCAGGGGTGGGATTCTACCGGTTCTCACCTACTCGCTAGAACCTGTTGTTAACTTTCTAAGCGGTTCAGAGAACCGGCTGTTGGAAGAAATCTCCTTTTTCCCCCCCTCCACTTTACAGGGTTAATCCAGAGGTGGTATTCAGCGGGTTCTGACCAGTTCTGGAGAACCAGTAGCAGAAATTTTGAGTAGTTCGGAGAACCGGCAAATCCCACCTCTGACTGGTCCCGCCAACCCCATCTCTTCTCTGCCTCTCCTTGAGTCCCAGCTGATCGGCTGGGTCTTCTTTGGTTGCCCTGCACAGGAGAACAGAGCTGTAAAGCAGGTTAGAGGGGTGGGGAGGGAATGGGGATTGTGCAGTATCCTTCCCCTGCCACCAAGTCACACCATGCCCACAGAACTGGTAGTAAATTTTTTTGAATCCCACCACTGCATCCATTACTTCTTTTCCTACCCTCAGGTTCTCACAGAATTAGGTTGATCTCCTCTTCTCTGTCAAGTACTGGAAGATTGCTATCCTATCACTCCTAGTACTTATTTAAGATGTGTAGATTGACTTCCGGGGTCAAAGCCAAAAGACTGGCTACAATGCTGTCTGTACAAGGTTCCTGACACACCTCTGAACCGAGGTCACAACATCACTTGTGAATCCTACATCCATTCGGCAAACTCGCCCAAACTTGGGTCATTCAACTCAGAAAGACCCTAAAATTTCTCCCACCTTTCCTAGCGACTTGTGGATTAGGTCAACTTGGATAGCCTTACCTGACATACTTGGAAAAAGCTTTCTGATACGGAAGGGGCAGTTTCAGCGAAGATCTGCAAAAAAAAATTGCTCGGTATTATCATCCTTGGTAAATGCACAACCCACCCATATTGGAAACCAGGAGAAATTTCAGCTCATCTTTGGGATTGAATTTAGGAAAAGACAGGTAAGCAAACCGCCATAAGTCATCTCTCTTCCGCAATTCTGGTGTGACTATTACACTGTTTTGAGATCATTCTCTTCGCCCTCAACTAGGAAAATAAATTTGACCAGTTTATTCATTCAAATTATAGTGCCTTCAGGGAGCTCCAAAAATTCAACCAGACAAAATTCAAGCGATTTTATTTTATTTTACACTTCCTTTTCCCTTTACTATTTTCCCATATAATTCAAGGCGGTGAAGATATCCAAATACTTCTTCTTTCTGCTACTTTCCCCACAACAACCCTGTGAGGTGTATTGGACTGAGAGAGAACTTTCATGCCTAAAATGGGACTAGAAATCCCACCCTCCTAATGATTGGTTTAAAGTCACCCAGCTGACTTTCATGCCTAAAATGGGACTAGAACTCCCACCCTCCTAATGATTGGTTTAAAGTCACCCAGCTGACTTTCATGCCTAAAATGGGACTAGAAATCCCAGTCTCCTGTTGATTGGCTCAAAGTCTGTCCAACTAAGGCAGAACTAGAACTCACTTTGTCCTGGTGGTTGGCTCAAAGTTACCAAGCCGGCTTTCATGGCTTATGTGGGGCTTGAACTCCTGCTTTCTAGCCTGGTGCCTTAATCACCAGACCAAACTAGCATATAATGCTGCCTCAGTTTGGATGCAAGGGCTTTCAAACAAGGATTTTAGGACTTTTGCCTTTCAGATATTGCATTCCTGCTCCTATTTGCTCCAGCCCAGTTGATGGAGCCAAAGTTTATGGAAGCCCCAGATAATCATCATAAATTGTGCGGCAAATTTAGTTCGCAAAATTGCTTTGGAAGCTTGAGATGGGGCTGGCTTCCTCTACTTGGCAGAAGGCATCCATGTGTTTTATCCAAACAGATTTTTTAATCATCTGCTCTGTTCGTTGGATGCTTGAATTTTTGTAAGAGGGAAAGTCTAAAGTCGTAAAACATTTGTGCTGCTATTTATACCTACAGGATAAGGGGCTGTTAGGTGGAATAGCATCAGCCTTATGAGTAAATAACAAAACAGCCCTTTCTGCAGGATGTTCTACAGCAGAATTAGAGCCTGGATTAACCTCTTACATACTGAAGAAGGGCCGGATTCACACATTCATCAGCATCCCAATTGAAAACGAACTACACTACGGGGCCCTTGATGTCCTTTGATATAATAAGGTTGTTTTCTTGCAGATGTTTCATTATTCAGCTAGGCCACATCGTTAGGGCTAGAATTGAGTGGGGCTTGCTCTCTGTTTATCTTTAAGTGGGTTGTCCTGACAAACCCCACTCCCTTCTAGTACTGATGACATTGCCTAGCTGGGTGATGAAACATCTTCCAAGAAAATCATCAGGCTCGGAGAACACTAAGGATCTCTCATTTCAACCCCGACCTACAATTATTCTCTTCTATTGAAATCACACTATGTTTTAATGTAATGCAGAAAGTTGCAGCATCATGTTGTCGTCATGTGACGTGTGGTGACTTTTCCCCCCCTTCGCTAAACCAGGGGTGGGCGTGGCCAGCACGTGAGTTTGACATCCCTGATGTAAACCCATCAAAAGTGGCTGAATGAGAATGAATTTATTTATTTAATATTCCACCTTATTTTTATAAACAACTCCAGGTGGCAAATATATCTAATAGCAATAGCATTTAGACTTATATACCGCTTCACAGTGCTTTACAGCCCTCTCTAAGCAATTTACAGAATCAGCCTAGGGCCCCCAATCATCTGAGTCCTTATTTTATGCTCCTATTTTCCCCACCATGCAAACGCTGTGAGGCAGGGTTGGGCTGAAATCGACTAGCTTAGCTTTTCATAGCCAAGTCCGGACTTGAACTCACAACATCCTGGTATCTAGCCTGGTGCCTTAACCAGGAGACCAAACAGGCTCAAAGGAGACCAAAGAAGCCAAATGTAGATTGAAATAGAGCCAGAGATAGTTTGACTGCTATTTATAGCCATGCCATGATGCACAGTTGATGCGTTTCAAAAAAATTTTTAATCGCTGGTTCGGTGGGCGTGCTTTGCGCGTACGCGCACGCTTTGTGTGCGCGTGTCAAATGCGCACTTTGCACAGGCGTTCTGTGCAATCCTGCTCTCCCTGTTGCTTCAGCAGCTGCCGCGCAGCACTCTGCTGTGCTGCACAATGCAGCTGTGCTTCGAAAGCAGAACATAAAGGTGAGTATGGGAGCTTGGGCCCAACAGCCGAGCGTTGGAGAGAACCGGTTTGGTCTCTGCTGTTCATCGGCGCTAGCGGCTCGGGAGAACCGTGCCGAACCAGTAGAAAACCACCACTGATGCTGCAAGTAGAGGGAACTCAGCCAGTGTGTTGCACTCACAAAACACAGAAGCTGTGGGTCACTGCCTATCCAGACCCTGCTTGGTCAGGCCCAAAGGAAAAGCACACCTATCTCCGCGGAGGCAGATTTTTGGAGGAAGTGGGATGCGTGGCCACCTACCCGATTTGTTGAAGAGTGGAAGTTGGAGGCTTTGCTCCTTTTCTCGGTGGGTTGGTTCTTAAAGCATACGGCCCACCTAAAGCCTCCAGATCAGGATCTACCAGATCAGGGGCTTGAAGGCCTGTTCCTTCACAGTCCCCTCCACCGGCGAACCGAGGGGGTGTCGTCGTGTGGCAGGGACCTTTGGAGCAGCCCAACGGCAAGCCGGGTTCGGCAGCGACACGGACCTTTCCGTCAGGGTCCTTGGCTGTCTTTGCGCACGGTTTCCACTTTGGAGAGGCGACCCCTACTGAGGACCCCAACTTTTTCCCAGCCGTTTTGCTCCGTCCAGCTGGTATTTTCACTGGTGGCCTTTTCACCACCGCATCAGTTTTGTAGGGAGCCTTCAACATGTAGGCTGTGGGTTTTTTGGACGCCACCGGCTTTCTACTCACAGGAGACATCTCGGTGGTCTTGGGGACCTTGCCTTTAAGATTACGTGCAGGTTGTCCCAAAGCAGACTGGCTCGCCGGCTTCTTACTTGAAGTTTCCGAGACTTTAATGGTCTCACATGGCACTTGGTGGAATTTTGACCGGAGTCTTAATGCTTTCTCCAAGGCTTTGTTAAGCAGTTCCAGGTCCTTGAGCTCCTCAGCTGAAGGCTCTGTTGCTTCTACAAGTGAAGGAAGCACGTCAAAATGGATCGATTATATATATCAGCGTTTCCAAACCTTGAGAACTTTATGACGTGTGGACTTCAACTCCCAAAATTCCCTGGCCAGCCATGTTGCCTTGCAACCTACTTTCTATAGATCCACAGTATTTTTTTTTGTCGTTTAATGACCCGTAATCCCTTGCATCGGGGTGGAGTTGGGGCAACTGAATGGAGCTGAGTGTTTACTGGCCGGATGCCCTTCCTATCACCAATGCGGAGTTCGCAGCAGATATATTCTCATTGGGCCCAGAGAGAGAAATAGCTGTCTCTACCTAGGATCAAACTCTCAGCCTCCGGATTGTGAGGCAAGAGCTCCACCTCTAGGCCACCGTACCGCTATGTATCTATAGCATTGAATCCATTTATTTAACAACTGGATTCATACATTTTGTGGAACTATTTTTTACTGATTAGACTTGTAACTAATGTGCCTCATTGGCTTTTTTGCTTCAGGTGTGGCAGTTCAATCAATTATAGTTTAGCAATTGTAGTACTGGGATGGCATTGCGTCATGCCAGCTAATGGCAGTTTACTCAACAAGCCATGGATAAACAGACCATTGATTTATTGGAATTCATCCATCCAGGAATAGGGTATGACTGTAATGAAGCAGCTTGGACTGTGATATCTCCAATCAAAGGCCCAGGACTTCCTATAACCAGGAAAAAGGTCTGGAGACCAGGAAGTGATATGGAGCTAATAAAGGGGCTGATTTGATTATATTGTGGCTGCCATGAAGATTAAGATGGGAGATTTTTATGGGCTTTTATTATGGAGTTTTAAATGTTACAAGCTGGCCGGAATCACTTATGTGTGAATTTGGTGGCTATATAAACTGTTTAAATGAATACATAAATAACAAGGGAGACTAGTAAAGAATGATGCTTCCTTTACCATGTTTCTCAGTTTTGGCATCTTCAGGAACAGGGCTTTCTCTCTCAGAGCTCCTAGCACAGACAAAAAGAGAATACACAATTCAGCAATGAACAGGTGCGCTCCATCCCTTCTTCCACACCATCCCAGTTTCTATAGGTTGCTGATGATTATAATAATAATAATAATTTCATGTGGGCTTAAGAAAGACTGGGAGATTTGTGGCATTGGGATAGTCACTGTTGGGATGACTTCCTTCCATGAGGAGGGTTGGAAAAAGGAATAGAGGGACAAGAAGGAGGAGAAGAAGGAGGGGAGAATGAAGAACAGGATTGGTGAAGAAGAGGAGAGGAGAAAGAGGAGAAAAGAGACAAGGAAGAAGGAAGAAGAAGAAGAGAGAGGAGGGGGAAGAAAAGTCTTTGCTTCCCTTGCATTAAACAGTAAGGTACACTTTAAAATTACGCCCAGCTTACCATTCCCCAAGAACCGCACGGCACTGTTGAATTTTCTGCTGGAGTTTTGTCCTCTGCTCTGTGCAATCTTCCAAGGCTTGGGTGAAAAGGGAAACCAGCCTGGAAAGAGCCAAGAAATGGCAGTTTTTCCTTAACATCCCAGAGGAAGGAGCTTTGATTTCAATTTCCCAGCAGGACCATAGACTCCTAGGGCTGGGAGGAACCTTGGATGTCTTCTAGTCCAACCCGCTGCCCAAAGACAGTACCAACAGCGATAGGCACCTTAGTTGTGAGCCCAAAATCTCTGGAGCATCACTAGAACACCACGGGCATTGACAAATTCACCATCAGTCAATTGCAAAAGGCAGCTTTACTTGGGGCATCTTACATCCTACAACGAGACCTTTAACACCCTCAAACAACAACATCTGCCTACGTTAGGTGGACAAAATGCCCAATCCAGCCTGAACCTCTGGACGAGTGTGCAACAAACTATAGCAAGACAGAAGAATAGAAGAGAAAGAACTGGAGGAAAATCCCAAAAGAGGAAGCCTTGTGCCAACTTATAAAATATTTCTATGGTCTTTTTAGAGTTGCCAACAGAAAGGCAGAAAGGGGGAGCAGTGCAGCAGCTTGCAAACCGAAAGTGCATTCCATCAATGTTTTCAAAGATAGTAACTAGGTGACTGAAGTTTCTGCCGTGCAAAATTCTAACTGGAGAGCATGATTGATGACTCCGGGCTATGGAGATGTCCCATTGGAGAATATGAATTATGATACACCCAGGGGGGTGGAGGGGAAAACCAGGGTCAAGGGTGACAATGAATGATGTGTCTCCGAGTCAGCTACACCCAGGCAGTGCCAGACATGTTAACTCCCAATAAATCCTTTTGAAGTTTTGGAAGTTTGGCTCGAGACTCATGATTTAAATGGGGTTAAGTGCCAGAATCCTGACACCTTGCAAATAGAAGTAGGATGGCTGTGCCAAAAGAAAGCAAGGACAAGGGTCATTTTGGGGTGCAATCCCGAAACATGTGGAGCATCACTTGAACAACTGGGCTTGGACAAAATCACGAGCAGCCAAGTGCAAAAGGCAGTTTTATTTGGAACACTTTGCCTTTTGCAACAATACCTCTAGCACTATTTAACACTTAAATACCTACCTATCCCGGGTCTTTGGGAAAGGCTCAACAGATGATCAAAAATGCAAAATCCGGGCTAAACATCTGGCTGCCTGGGCAACCAATCACCATCATCATATTTTAAAAATAATAAGCACTCACCTCTGGGCACAGTCAGCGGGCAGCATGGAGAAGTCGGAGGAAAGACTACAAAGAAGCAATTGCGAACCGCGCAAATCGCCCGTTTCGTGCAAAGCGCCGAAAGCCGAACTCTCTTCGCTTCCCCTGCAAAGGAGAAAGAACCATAGAGTGTCTCGCCCTAGCCTAGAGCGACCCTTCCCCATTCCGTGCCTCCTAGAGATAGTAAAAACGACATGGCCGACTTTATTTTTTTAGCCGCTCTTTTTCTTCAGGAGGTTTATTTCTGGGGTTACTGACCCTTTTTAAATATACAAAAATATTTAAATGATTAAAAAAGGCCCCAGTGGCGCTCTGCCGGACAAATAGTAAAATAGCACGATGGTCGATGAAAACCAATAGTCGTGTCTTCCCTTTTGTATCTCTATGGTTTAAGTTTCGCTCCAGCCCGCGCTTTCACGTCCTGTCAGGAATATGGTGAATTATTTAGACACGCTTAGGAGGAGCGTTGTTATAGCCTCCGGATATTTCCCGTGTTTTATTTCTCCAATAATTGATAACCATCTCTGGAGGTGTTTTGGTGGCCCAATTCCTTTTTTTCTTTTTGTAATACTTACGTCTCGGTGTTGGGTTTCGTAAGCTGCCAGGAAGGCGCTTAGCAACTGAACGTCTGCTCGTAGCAACGGTTGCTATGCGGAAGACGCTGAAGTCTGATGCATAAAGGCGGCCTTTCATTTTAAAAAAAACAAAAACAAATCATTTTATTATTCCAGTCAAACATCTGATTATAATATTTGTTTGTTTGTTTTGGCTCAGTGAGGCGTGAGCAGCCAGTCTTCGTGCCTCCTAAACCCAAGTGCCCAGCTTTGCATTCCATTTTATTTATTCATTTAATAAATTTATATGCCACCCATTTCACTATCACAAAGTGTAATTCACCATTACAGGTGAACCAGGTTAATTCATCTGCTCCCACAAATTATGGCTAAAACAAACCCACCACCTAGCAGGAGAGGTGAATCTGAATCTGGATGCCATCCTTGAATAACTACATATAGGATATATTGGAATAAACTGAAGGGTTTGCAAAACCCTGAGAAAATTACCAGGGATTTTATCTCAAAGGAGACCCAAGATGGAAATGCTGCAGATGGAGTGGAGAATGAAAGTTATCGGAGATGTTTGAAAGCTCCTGAAATAGGAAAGTCTGTAGGAAAGTGGGACAAGGTATCTTGATGCACCTTCAGCTCAGCCTTCAGCCAAATTTGGAGTAAATCCAGGCAAAAATACTTTGGAATCCTTCATACATGCATCATATGTTGGATGCATTTGAAAAGTTTATTCATGAGTAAGTTTTCTTCCTTTCCAAATATTTCAAAGCCAAATCTGGAGGGGAAAAAAGTGTGCTATTATTTCCTTTAAATATGTCGCCAAAAACTGTATAGTAACAATAACAGAATTGGAAGGGATCTTGGAGGTCATCTAGTCCAACCCCCTGCTCATGCAGGAAACCTATATTAATTCTGACAAATGGCTGTCCAGTCTCTCCTTCAAAGCCTCCAGTGATGGTCACCCACAACTTCCAGAGGCAATTTATTCCACTGGTTGATTGTTCCGTTAGGAATTTTCTCCTTAATCATAGGTTGCTTCTCTCCTGATTCAAAGTGTCACATAAATTGTTTCCCATGAACTAACTCTAGGTAGTCCTTGACTTAAAACCATTAGTTTCATTCAAAGTTGTTCAAAGTTATGACGGCACTGAAAAAAGTAACCCATCTCCCATCTTTGCGCTTACAACCGTCACAGCATTCCTGCAGTCATATGATCAAAATTTAAGCACTAACCAGATCTGACTTTGTTTCAAACTAAATGGATCCACTTAACAACCATTGCATCATAGCATAGTCATATGATCAAAATTCAGACACTGGGCAACTGACTCATATTTATGATAGTTGCAGTGTTCCAGAGTCATATGATCACCTTTTCTAACCACCTTTTCTAATCACTGGAAGCTTTCAAGAAGAGACTGGACTGCCATCTGTCAGAAATGGTATACGGTCTTCTGCTTGGGCAGGGGGTTGGACTAGATGACCTACAAGGTCTCCTCCAACTCTGTTAATCTTTTGACAAGCAACGTCAATGTGGAAGTCAGATTTACTTTTCAGCTGTGTTACTAACTCAACAGCTGCAGCAATTTTCTTAACTGTGGCAAGAAAGGTTGTAAAACTGGGCAAAACTCACTTAACAAATGCCTTGCTTAGCAACAGAAATTTGGGCTCAATTGTAGTCATAAATTGAGGATTACTTGTATTGAGAAAACAAATAGGAATTGCCCAGCAGGGTGCGCACTTCTACAATTTATCCTGATGCTGAATTTCATTTTAAAATTTTAATAGTATTTAAATTCAGGACAAGGTTTGTGGAAAATAAAACTGCTTTGGCATTTTATACATTTGGATATTATTCATAACCCGGATCGTAAGTAACAAACTGAACAAGTCTCAATCCATAATAGCTTACAGGAGGTAGTCCAGAATCCTTCATACAAATTTCATATGTTGAGTATGTATGTCCAAAAAATTTATTCATAAGTTAATTTTCCTTATTTCCAAATCTTTTGAAGCCAAATTTGGAGGAACAAAAAATGTGCTATTATTTCCTTTAACTATTTTGCCAATAATAAACTAAATTGCTAGCTTTCCCATATAGCCTGGAAATTCTCACATAGCAATTGACACAAATTGTATAGGCTTTGTATGTGACTTAATTCCATTTTATTCAAATATTATAACCATAACCCAGTTATGGTAACACAGCTAGACACTAAGCGAGATTTAAGATTTAAACATTTTATCTAATTTTAAAAAGTTATTTTATTTGTAGTTCTGAAGTCTGAACTATGGAAGTTAAAAATCCTTTTCTATTAAAAAGCAGCAGTTTGGACCTATCAAGAATTGCTAGTCACATATTAGTTTCTATCCTTTGATAAACGCCACATAGTTAATAAGATTAGCTCACTGCACAGCAATTAAACTGAATGAGGTTGCTGCAGCAATCCCTAAATCCTTCAAAAATTACTTTTAGTGACAATTAACCAATATTATCTTTAATTCAAAAATAATTTAAACAGGGGTTAGGAATTGGCATTAAAACTTGTGTAATAATGCCGTTTATGAATCCTCATTGAATATCAATGCTTCAGTTACAGCGTACACTAAACTCTTATAAAATTTCATTTTCTAAGAGATTCGTTTATTTCATTAGCTTCCCTAAATTGGTTCCTGGTTAAAATGATTTCCACTGGGGGCAAAATAAGGAATGTTCAAATACAGTGTTAATTACAGATATTTCAAAGTGTTCTGCAGTCTTTCAGCAACCCACCCAGCGGTGGGATTCAATTTTTTTTACTCCCGGTTCTATTGGCTTGGTGGGCGTGGCTTGGTGGGTCATGGTAGGGAAAAGATACTGTAAAATCCCCATTCCCTCCCCACTCCAGGGAAGGTTATTGCAAAATCCCCATTCCCTCCCCACCCCACTAACCTACTTTCCAGCTCTGTTCTCCTGTGCAGGACAACCAAAGAAGACCCAGCCAATCAGCTGGGAATCAGGAGGCGGAGAATAGATGGGGGCGGGGCCAGTCAGAGGTCGCATTGGCCAGTTCTCAGAACTACTCAAAATTTCCACTACTGGTTCTCCAGAACTAGTCAGAACCTGCTGAATACCACTTCTGAACCCATCCAAATGAAATTCAAGGTAGTAGGACAGAATGACAAGAGTTGGAAGGGACCTTGGAGGTCTTCTAGTCTAACCCCATGCCCATGACCTTTCTACAATGTTCCCCATATGTGGTATGATCTCTCCAGTCATCTCCAAATTTGAGAGTAATACAGATAGCCCTCCACCTACAACAGTTCATTTAGTGATTGTTCTGAGTTACAATGGCACTGAAAAATAGTGACATGACAATTTTTGAAACGTATGGCCATTGCAACATCTCCATGGTCACGTGATCAAAATTCAGACTCTTGGCAACTGGTTCATATATATGACATTTGCAGTATCCTGGAGGGTCATGTGATCCTCTTTAGTGACTGACAAGCAAAATCAATGGGGAAGCCAGAATCACTTAACAACCGTGTTCCTAACTTAACAACTTTAGTATTTAGCATTTATTTGATTTGTCAATCGCTTACAAGATACAGGTATAAGAATAAATATAGTTTTGAATACATGAGATAGATACTTATAAGAAAAATAAAAAGAAACAAGGTTAAAGTTTTTGGGTTTGGGGAAGAAACAACAGTCAGGTAGAGTATTCCAAACATTGACCATATGAAGTCATATTTTCTGCAGTCAAGTTTAGTGCCATTAACCTTGAGTTTGTATCTATTGTGTGCTCTTGTATTGTTATGATTAAAGCTGAAGTATTCATTTGCAGGTAGGACATTGCAATGTATGATTTTATATACTATATTTAGATCAGACCGGATGCAGCATAGTTCTAGATTTTCTAGGTCTAGAGTTTCAAGTCTGGTGGCATAAGGTATTCTGCAATGAGTAGAGAAGCGGAGAACTCTTCTTGTGAAATATTTCTGGACTTTTTCAATTGTGTTAATATCAGATACATGATATGGGTTCCAGACTGATGAGCTATATTCAAGTATAGGTCTAGCAAATGTTTTGTATGCTCTAGTGAATCATTTAACAACTGTGGCAAGAAAGGTTGCAAAATGGAGCAAAATTTACTTAACCGTCTCTCTTAGCAACAGAAATTTTTGGCTCACTTGTGGTCGTAAATCAAGAACTATCTCTACTCAACTCATACATTTTATATTTATTACTTTTTAAGGGAAGCTAACTCTATGTCCACCAACCAGCTGGCCAAATATTTTCACCAAGATATGTGGTTGCACAGAACTTTCAAATAGATTCGTGGTTTGATTGACCTATTGTTTTTTTCCCCTTTCACAACAATTAATTATTAAATTAAACAAGTTGTCTTTTTTACCGTAAAGGCTGGTCCAAGACCCAATTCAAGATAATTTGATTTTGATTTGAAGCGGGCCCATAATTATAATTTGAGATTCCCATATACACAAGGGCTTTGGCATCTTATTTGGATTTTTCCTGCATTTAG